GTATAACCGATATTCCTATACCGAAGAATTCATTATACAATACCGAATAATTTGTTATAGTGTTAACGAAGTTGCTTATAACGAAGCCCTGATCAGCTGGAACCTAGGGTTCGTTATATCGAGAGAGGACTGTAGTAATAATTAATGATTGCAATTACACTTTTTAAATTAATTTTATGAGGATAAGCCATCTAATATTTATCTTTACAGAAACTTAACATTTTTAATCAATATATAATCGATATCGTTAAGTTTATCTTAACGGTATCATTTTGATATTATTTTGATATTATTTCGATATTAAATTGATATTGAAATGATAATTAAAATGATATCGAAATGACATCTTTAAATTAAACTTAAAGATGTTGTTTTGATGTCATTTCTATTATCATTTTGATATCATATCAATATCAATTTAATATCGAAATGATATCAAAATGATAATACTTTATTTTGATATCGTATCAATATTAAATCGATATTGATATGATATCAAAATGATATCGAAATGATATCACTTGAAAACTTAAAGTTTCTGTAAAGCATATTACGCAAGCAAACTGCTGAAGCATTGGGAATTACTAAAAGTACAATTAAAATTATGATATCAAATTAAAATAAGGTATAGCAGCAGTATATTCATGCTAAAACTTTACATATAAAATGTAAGTAAATAATAAACTGCCTAATAATTTACAATATTGCCTTTTTAATAAATGGAAAATATCAGAATTTTTAAAATTAATTTAAATAAACAAAGAAAAAGCATTTATTTTCTTGTTCTAAAATAGCAAAATACTATAATTATCAAAAAAAATTTTATTTCTACTTGTTACTACAAACTTTAACTAATTGAAGGTTTTTAATTAGTTGTAAAGTGTAAAATTGTAAGTTTAAGTTTTCATTCAAAATCTTTATCCATTCATGATACATTATTAAATTCATTTAAAAAAAAAAATTCCATAAGTTTTAATTAAATTTTAGATAATGGCACTTAAATATATTAAAGAATACTTTAAATATAATATAAAAAATGCACAATTAATCAATAAAAATTTAGTGGTTATAGTAATTTTAATTGATAATACACAATTTAATCTTACACTTATATTTTTATATTTCCCAAACATATATTAATTCAAATTAAATAAATAAATAAACATTTATATAATAAAAAATTTTTTTATTGGCATTTTGTTGAGGTATGAATCTTTTTGCACTGGCCCATATCTTTTATATCATCCAGAAACTTGAAAAAACTATTTTAAAAAAAAGAAAAAAAAACAATTTTAAAATAGTATTCCTAAAAATAAAAAAAACTTTAAAAATTGTTTTTACTTGCTGATATCCTATATCCATAATAATTCAAAAAAAATGCTTTTTATGTAGCTGCTATTTGGTTATACAATTTCAACTATATGACTTATTAAGAAATTATATAATAAGTTTATATAAAATTAGATCCCTGCAGTATTATATGTATTCTTTGGAATCCTGTTTAAATTCCTATTCTCTACATTTATAATATAGTAAAGAAGCCATTTTACATCTTGAATTTATTATAACAAGTTAGCAGGATTTGATTGGTTACTTTGTTAAAAAATTATTGCTAGGCATCACGTAATTCATTATATCAGGCGAGGTGAAATCCTAATGGTCATCTCATCTTAACTGTCACCCAATCCTTCGATCACGTGTCAATGCATAACGCCGGCCGAGTCTGAAGAATTTTCTGGGTGCCATTGAGGTAGACGGGTAGTTCGAATGCATTTGTTAAATTATCTAAATATTAACCTTGTCAGTTGCATTATACTGATAAGTAGGAGGTAAGTTAAAAATATTTATTTGAATATTTATTAAAATAATTATAAACTTTCATATTTATTATTGATACAAGCGTACTGTACAAATTTCCTTCTATTTTTAAATAAGTTGTATTCACTTGCTCTAAAAGTCTCAAAAATTTGTATATTGCCTTCAGCAATAAATGAATTTACTCATCGAAACATATCTATAAATAAAGTATTTTAGTTATCGAAGTCAAATTTAAAAGTAGTTCTATAACTTTGACCAGTTTGCATATTCCTTGCAGTAGCAATAATTTCCATTTTTCCAAAAGTTATTCCAAGCTTAACATTTCTATCAGTACCTGAACCAGGAAGATCAGTGTGAAACTTCCCTAAAAGCTCCATACCAGGATCATTCCGATATTCTCCATCATATTCTTTAGTGTAATATAATTCATTATCCAACCTTCTTTGATATGAATATAACGGACTACAATATGTCTCGATTTCTTGATCAATATCTATTTTAGTACCACGTCTAGCTAAACAATGAAATTTTTCAATATAGCCACCAGAGGCTTTTCTATGTTCCGGATCTCCTTCTTTCTAAATAAAGTTACGTTTGATTTTTAAATGAAACATTATCAAGCAAAATTATTATATTTAAAATAACCTACCCATTTAGTATGATAGATAATTCCATAAGTATATTTAAGAACTCTTGAAGAAATAACACATTTCATATTACCGTCATTCCCTATATTATTCAAATCATTTAGTTTTATCGATAATCCGTAAATTGCTGCTCCACGTGAAATTGCTGCCATAGGCTGAGTAGGTACTGAAATATTATTTACTCGATGACTAAATTCTTGTTTAATTTTTTTTTGTAAATATTTTGATTCACTAAAACCTCCAACTAAGAACATTGCAGAACAAGTTTCTTGAGCATTATCTAGTTGTGCTTTTATCAAGTGGAGAATCCTCTGGACAACAGGCTCGAATATTGATTTCATAATTTCAAAGTCAATGTCAATTACCCATTCGACTTCTTCTAAAGTTTTCCTGATATCATCATCTGTAACGTATTGTTTTAAGATTGGAACTGCCTCCTGAATATCCAATTCATACGAAAAGTCTGGATCATCCCCTGAAAAAGGAATTTTGCAATTTCTACAAAATTGCTGTATCAAATATTGCATTTGTCCATAATCATTATCTCTAAGCAAATCCATAGGTACATCTCCGAGTATTTTTCGTAAATATTTAATGAATTCGGCATCAATGAAAGTACTTCCACAAAAATCTCCGGTTCTTTCAGTTATTTCGCCCAATTGCTTATCATTTATTATTTTACGAGTTGTTAAATCTACTGTACCCCCACCGCAGTCAACTATCATAAAATTAGCTGATGTTCAAAATTATAAATAAACGAAGTTAATTATATTGTCTTTTTTTTTATTGAAGAGGAAAGTTTATTTCAAACATACTTCCTGCCCGCGCAAGATTCTGTCCTTCAAGATTTTCCATGCAATATACCGCAGCAGCTTCAGCTGAAGATAGTTAAATATCTAAATTTAGAATCTGAAGAAATGATTATAATATAAAATTGTGAAAATTCTTACGTTCTGTAGTAAATTGTAAATTTGTTGAACATTCTTCTTTGATCAATCCCGCATTAAATGCACATACTCTCATAATTGCTTTTGACTTATCAGAAAATTCTGCAGGAACGGTAATAACTAAAAGAATATTCTCAAAGTAATCAATCAATGGCCAGCGTGTTTTAATTGTATCTTTAATTACCTTGAAAAAATTATATGTGCGTACGTAAAAACATCATTCTTTAAATAATAAAAAATTGGTATTATAAGAAATATTGTACCTCGCCAATTTCCCTAAGATAGTCAGTAATAGCCTTTTTGTAATCAACTGGAAGTTTAGGTTTAACTTCATCCGATAAATCACCTAAATGTAATTTGAACAATTCAACGGGTATACTACCTTCGCTATTATCTTGCTTTCTCACTCTACGACGTTTCTTTTTAGCTAGAGCTGGTGCTCCCCAACATTTTACTTTATTATATTCGGCGTCGTATTGAAGAACTGTATTAGTTTTTAAATAACGTGTTTCACCGTGCCAAATATCATTTGAACACAGATTTCTTTCTTCACTAACATGACAATAGGCGAATCCGGAGTAGGTTGTTCCAAAGTCTAATCCAACCACAACACGGATATTACTTTCTTCAGGGCTCAATTGGTTATTATTTTCTTCAAGACTATTATTTTCTTCAGGGCTATTATTTTCTTCAGAGCTCACTTTGTCATTATTTTCTTCAGAGCCTAATCTGTTGTAATCTTCTCCGTCGCTATCTTCCTCGTCGCTATCTTCCTCGTCACTATCTTCCTCAGAGTTTAGCTGGTCGTTGTCTTTCTTAGAGATTGGTAATTCGTCATTTTCTTCCTCAGAACCTAGTTGGTCGATATCTTTCCCAAAGATTATTAGTTCTAAATTTTCTAAATAATTGTAAAAAAGAAAATTTAACTTCGTTAATTATCAGAATCAATGGTATCAAAAAATGTCTATTTAACGTCATATACCTACTTCGACTCATCTTTGATATAGTACAGTATTAATTTCTGAAAAATCGACATGATTTATAAGAATTTTGCCATATGAAATACCAAACAATGATTGGTGTAAATCAGCATAGTACGATTTACGAAAAATGGGGTGAGTGGGACCAAATTGTAACATATTATGTGATACAATAACGAATAAGACATAAAACGAGTAAGATAATGTTTCTTAAAGGGATATGTGACACTACATGTAAATTTATATTTATTTTTTTTAATTTATAATAGTAATAAAAAAAAATGCTATAAATACATTCTTAATTGAACATAATCTTCGTGTAACCTTCGTTAAAACGGGTATACTGTACATATAATGCACCTCCTGATACATTAGAATCAAATTTGGAGAAATTTAACTACAAAACTTCATGCAAAAGGGAAGTATCTTTATCTTACTTCTAATCAAAAATATCCTTAAATTACCTTCACTTTTAGCTTCAAACGAATATTAAAATTTATGTCGTTGTAATTTACCATTATCTTGGCGATTTTGGGTAAATGATGATAATCCGCAAGCAAAAAACTTTTATAAAAAAAATTTCTAATTTTTAAAGCAGAAATGTGGAGTACCAAGGTAAGTGATAGTGCTTATAAGTGAAGAATTATTCGTTATTTTCTTTTTTAAAATTAAGTTTTATTTAGCGCTTACGTAGGCAAAAAAAATATTCTTGAAGATATTGAAGTTATAGAGAGATAGAAGAGGACCCGGAGGTAATTAATTATTATTTTAGATAAAGTGATGAGGCAACTTATAATTTTATACGTTTTGGTGATGAGCTACAACTAAAGGTGCAAACTTAATGACGTGACGTAACTCTTAGTCGTCGTAGACGTAATTAGGACGTAACCCTAAGGGGAGGATAAGTTTGCACCCTTAGCTACAACAGGCTGAATATAAAAAGGTCGAAGCTCCATTAGCTTTTATATCGGAATCGCATCAAATTTAAGATGGTAGGTTTAGCTTCCTATCGAGTATCTTGCAACTTGTTATCAAGGAATTGCTTATGTTTTAAATGTTGAACAATGGAATAATGTTAACTCTGTATATGGAGATGTAAGTTAAGTTGTTTTCTTATTAACCCTATTATTATTTTTTTTTTTGAAAAAAAATTTGATATTAAATAACTTTTGATTCAGATTCAATACTCGTTAAGAACACCATCAAGAGGGAACCCACAAGGTGTAATTTTATGTGATGAATTAATATCATAATCAAAAATCTGTCGTGCGTTAAATACTACATTAATATGCTTGAATAGTGGTAAATTATCAACTTGATAAGGTATATTTGATTAGAATGAGCTGTCACTATTATTTATTAAGAAATTTCTTTATGTTTTAATAAATTTGAATAATATTGTATCTGTACATAGGACATAAGATTATTGATTGTTAGTATTAAATGATATTTTAAACTTCTGATATAATATAAGTTGTGAAGAATAGAGTTTTAGTAATTTTAATATAAATATCAGCAGTTGGGAAAATAAAGTTTGATTTTTTAATTTTAGATTCTTGATATCTTGATATGCATTTGCTTATTAATGAGTTGAATGAGTTGTGGTTCATTTATAATGTAGTAAAGAACCAGTCTATTTATTTATTTTTAATGAAGTTGTGGAGTTGGTTTAAAGATTTATTATTTAATAAACTGTTAAAAAGTCATGCCTAAAGATCTATATTCTAATATTTTTGTCAAGAATGTATAGATTGTCCTATTGTATGAAATCTAAGGAGTTAGCTCTGAAATATTGCTAGTTGGTCAACTTTATCATTGTAATTGTCATTAACATATACTTTATTTGATAAGTAAATAATATAAGTTTCTATATTAAAAAGTTTTTAATTTTAATTGACATCTAGTACTATGATGAAAATAATTGTTGAATATATATACACAATTCACAGAATCTATATATATCCGTATTAATATTAGAGAAGTGTAATTAAAGTAATAAAATAGCACTGGTCAGAATAGTCCATTTCGTCCAAATTTCAAATTGATGAATGTTGGACGCAAAGTACAGTTTGCCTGCCATTTGGCAATCACAAATCGGCAAAAATTCATTAAAAAATTGGAAATAAACTATTCGTTAACCTTTTACTAGTCATTTGTCCAAATTTAAAATTGCCAAATATTAGCAAAATTGAGTCTAATTTTGTCCAATTATTAATGATTTTTATGTATTTAGCTTATTTTTAATTTTGTAATAGCAATCAATTAATTATATTTTATTATTTCACTTTATTAAAATTACATATTAAAAAGTATTATATTAAATTTCTAATATTTACAGTATTTGTCTATTTACATCTACCATCTACTATCTACCCATTGTCAACCATCCATTGTCAACCATCCATCATCTACTTATATATTAAATTTATATATAATATTACTATTGTAAAAAAATAGTATTTCATTAACATTTTTGCTAGTAATCAAATTATTTTATTTTTATTATTTTAAAATTCGTTTTTATTTTCTTTATTTTATAACAATAAATTTTTTTATTATAATTATAATTATCTTAATATTATAATAATTATTTTCTATATTTTAACTTCAATTTTTTAATCTTTAATTATCAGGAAATTTTTCCAAATAATATATAATGATATATATCATTTTATTGATATTTATTACATTATTTATAAAATGTGATATTTATCGATAATAATCATACTTGTCAAGTAATATTAATAGGATAAATCAGATTAAATTGACAATAATCATCTATATAGTTAAAAATTGATATTTATTCCTATTGTTAAAATCAATAATTATTACTACAGGTTAAATAGTGTTAAATTATTTATAGTTAAATGTTATATTATTTCACTATTAAACAGCATTATATTTTTTCATTATTAAAAATGTTATTTTATTATTTTACTTAATAATGATTACATTATTTAATCTATATTAAAAATTTATCTAATTACTTTGTTATTCTTCTTCAATTCCTACAAAATAAAAGCAAAAGAATTGTTAGTAAACAATTCCTAATAAGAAAATATAAAAGACAAAACTAAAACAATAAAATTTTGCAGAAAAATTTACTATTTTTAAACTATAATGCTTTTATTGAATCCTTCAGAATCTATAAAAACATAACAAAAAAATGTTATTTAATGTTTTTATTACTAAAAAAATAAAAATATGATAAGTTTTGCAAAGAAATTTATCATTTCCAATTTCTAGTATTTAACTAAAACCTGTAAATAAAACTTACAATTAAGAGTTGAAAGAAATATTAAAATAGTTGTAATTTAAAAAAATTAAAATGTTTAAGTTTTACTTTATAACGAAACTTACCTAAGTATCTATTGTTCAGTAATATCACTTAAAAGTCAAAACCTACAAAAAGAAATATTAGAAATTGTTACTATTAATATAAACAAAATAAAAAAATATTATAAATCCTCAAAAATCTTATAAGAAAAAAAAAATGAAATGTTAGAAAATACTTCTATTAATAAAATAAAAAAATTTAGTTTTACAACATAAATATTGCAAAACTTACCAATTTCATATTTAAAGCTTAACATCAGACGAAACCTACAAAAAAAATAAAGAAAGTTAGAAATATTTCTTTAAAAAAAGCAAAAAAAGAAAAGTTTAAAGTTTCTTTCATACCAAAAAAATCTCTTATTTTCTCAAACTTTTCTAAAACTACCTATTATTCTAATCCAAGATCAATACTGAAGGGAACTTACAAAACAAATAGAATTGATGTCTTCTTAAAAAAAATACCAAAAAAAAAATTAAAATTTCAAAATTTAAACTTACCAATATCTTACCTTTAAAGTTGAAGAAAGTCTAAGGATTTCAAGTTACTGATTTACAAAAGAAAAGTCCAAGTATTATCCAGATGTCATGAAGTTCATAAGCCCAAAAAGGTGATATTTAAAGTTCAAAACTAAAGGAACTGGATATTTATGAAAATTTAAAAACAAAAATTAAATCAAAGTTTTTAAGCTTTCTGCTTTAAAACTTATCTTAGGTAAAAGAAGAGATGAGAGAAAGAAAGGTAAAGAAAAAAGGAGAGGGTACAAAAAGTAGAATAAGATAGAAAGGTAAGAAGAGTGAGAAAAATAAAGAGGAAGAACTAGTATCATTTAAAGAAAATTGTGGCTAGAAAAATGAAAAAATGAAAAAGAAGTAAAAAAAGAAATAAATGAAAAAAGAAAAAAGGAAAATGAAAAAAAAATGAAAAATAAAAAAAAAGAATTTTACTGCATTCCTCTTTTCATAATTTCTAAGGTAAGTTCAAATAAGTATTTCATCTATATCTTGAATATAGATTCTTTATATTGGATTTACTTTTTCACTATGAAATCCTAATATAGTTTTATTTCTTTAGAATTTTTCCAATTACTAATATAATATAGTAATTTATCAATTCATTATATTACTTATTTTCTTATAATAAGCTTTAATTCATTCAGTTTTTAGATACTTTAAAACCTTTTTATCTATCTTCAAGTTTAGATCTTTAGGAATACCACATAGGTATCCAATTATATTAAGATAGTTAAAATAATTTATATGTCAAACTATTACTAGTAATATCTGCCACTTGTTAGCATAGAAAAAAGGTATAAGTAATCAGATCATTTTCAAATTTATCCATTTTTTCACTTAATTTGAATAGTGTTGTAAATGATTGTCAAGAGTTGATATGTTTTTTGATCAATTTTGGAAAAGCTCAAATAAAAATTTGAGTTGCATTTTATAATAATACTTAATGCATTATGCTTTATAATTAGATCATGAGTACAAGTACGAGTTGTTGTAGACAAATCATAATCATAATCATAATGTATATGCTTATGCTTCTTTGACATCAAAAGAATAAAATTGCGATTTAGAGCTTTCTGTGCTACTTTTATTGTAAGTTAAGTTAGACCTTCAAAAAATAGAATCATAGAGTAAAACTGATCTACATACATAAAAAAATAAAATTTTTTTCATATGATAATTATTTTTATTAATTAATAAATTAAATATCACTGTTAAAGTTTAAAAAAAAAATTCATACAAATTGTATTATATGAAAATTAAATTTATTTTTTATTTTTTTTTATACAATAAATACAATAAATTATTTTTATTAAATTACATAAAATTTTGATTTTAAAAAAAAATTTAAAATTTTTTTATTTTTTTTCATATAATTATTATTTTTATTAATCAATAAATTAAGTACCATTTAAAGGTTCAAGAAAAAATTCATACAAATTATATTGTGAAAATTAAATATCATTTTTTCATTTTTTTTTAAAAAGAAAATTATTTTCAATAAATATATTTTCTAATTTTTTTGTACAATAAATATAATAAATTATTTTATTATTTTTTTTTCATAAATTGAAATTTTTAATGATCTACTGTACATAAAAAAATGTCACTTGATTTATTTAATTTTTTTTTTTAATAAAAAGAAAATTACTTTCAATAAATACTAACTGTCACCCATTGCTTTGCATTAGGACCAATGAGTTTTTTTAAATAGAAAGATTTAGTATTATAATGTAATACTAAGTAAGTTAAAGAAATTTTTTGTTTATAATTAAGAATTTAATATGGTAATAATTAGGTAACAAAAAAATATGTATTAAACTATATTTATAATATTAGAATGATATAAATAATAAATTATTTTTAAAATAATATAGCTATTTATATTAATGATTTGATGTTTGAGTGTAGAGTGAAATTCAGATTATTAAGAATTGTGAAAAAATAATTTTCAATAAAAGTTGATTAATTTTTTAGAAGTATTTTTGAAAAAACTTTAATATTATGAAAATACTACAAATATTTTTATTAATTAATTATAAATTTTATAATTATTTTTTATTATTTTATATTATGTTCAATTTTTTTTCAGTTTGAAAAAAAACAAAAAATTTAAAATTAATAATCAAAAAAAAAAATTCTGATTAAAGTAAAATTTCATTAACTGAAATTGTATTAGTTGATTGGAATATCACGGATAAATAAATCAGGTGGAGGCATATCACAGTCACAGGTTTTAATCATATTGCATGGAATTTCAAGTTACACAATTCAAATTATACTAATCCAAATATCAGACAAATTTTTTTGTAGTTTTTAGATATATAGATTTATCAAAAAATTTATTATAGATTTAATTACAAAATATCTATATAATTAAAAACAATTTCACTAAAAAAAATTTATCAAAAACATTGAAAAAAACAATCTCATAAACAAAAAATAGTTTACACTAAATTGAAAAAAAAAAATCTCAATAAATAAAAAAAGTTTTCACTAAATCAAAAAAATTCTCATTAAAAAAAAAATCTTGAAAAGGCTATAGGACATAGTTCTATAGTCTTGTCCTAAACCAAAAAAAAAAAATAAATTGTATTTTTTTGGTTAAAAAAAAATTTGATAAATTCTGAATTTCTGATTAAAAAAAAATCCAATAAAAATAAAACAAAACAAAAAAGAATAAGAAAAAATTTTGGTTAAGTTAATCAAAAGAAACAATAATGATAAAGAAAAATAAAAATTAATAAAAAAAAAGACTAAAAAGGTACCGTATATCACGGGCCATAGTACCTATCCTCCCTATGCATAGTACCTTCCTTGAAAATTTCATGGAATTGTATAGTACCTGAAGGGATATTTTACAATTATCTTATGATCTAGTTATCAGATTTGGGCCATCTTTTTTTTGTTTGATAGCTCTCATTGAGCTCTTCAAAATAAAAAAAGATTGTTCAAATTGGGCTAATAGATCGTGAGATATTCGCAAAAAACAGAATTTTTAAGCTTTGTTTAGTACTTGGGGGTACAGGATCAAACCCCGATTTTTGCAAGATATCTGGGGTACTGTGATCTGCTATATACGGTAGTTTCAGTTTTTATGGTAAAAACTGAAAAATAAAAAAAACTATTATTAGTTTGTGGTAACTAAGAAAATAGAAATAACTGCAAATAAATGCAATTAATAAGAAAAATTATACTTTTTTTTGTTAGTATTAATCCATCAGAATAAAAAAAAATTAAGTTAAAATTTTAATTAAGTGACAGTTCGGTACCCAATAGGTAAAATTTAATAATAATGGTTTACGCAAATCATTGCCGAAAATGGCTAAAACCCGATTTTTGTTAGATTGACGTCTTCTCACGTGATATTTAATGAAAATTCTGAATACAGCAATAAATAGTGTCAATCCTAGCCAAGCCACTTGCAAAGTTTGAAATCGCTAAAGTTCATCGTCATCGACTTTACTATAGAGAAACACGACATTCCGACCGCAAATTTCCAGCTGATTCAAATATTGAGTGAAATATTTTTGAATAATTTTAACCACAACCGAATTGTATTTGGTTTTTATTTGATTTTAAAGCCTTTATTTAGTTTTATTTATTAGTTTTTGCGTATAATTTCTTGTATTTCGTTCTAATATACAATTTACATTTCTGCTTATTATAAAGAACTCTCATCACGAATATCTTTTACCATGTTTTCTGTAGCTTGTTCTTTGAAGGTTCGTGCATAAGTTGAAATCCAATTTTGTATTGTTGTTATCTTAGGGACATCTTCAGCTTCTAATTCTCCGGATTCAACAAATTTCATCAATTCATTATACATATCCTTTGCTAACATCTTATCTTTTTGGTTGAGATTTCCATTCAAGAAAAAACTTTTTAACAACTCCTTTACTTTCTTTTTCATCCTTTTTCCTTTCCCTTTTCCTCCAAATTTTTGATTGCTTTTTAGCGCCCATCCCATAGGAAATTGAAATTTTACGTCAATAGAACTAATTCAATACAAAACATGTAAGAAATTAATTTGAATTATATTTGTTTTAAGCTTCACATTATTTACCTTGCATCTTCTAATTCATCATTTTCATTATTATTATCCATAAATTCTGGTACAATAGGATCAACCATATCTGTATCTATAGAATGCATTAGCCAAAAGCTCTTAACGAACCTAAAAAAAATATTTTTTACAATTGATCACCTGGCAGAGTTGGAATTGGAATTGTCCAAGCTGATTCAGGTTCAGTTTGTTCAGAAATTTTTGGATGGGGACGAACAATTGGTTTGGTGCAAAGTTTGGCAATTGTAGAAGGAGGGAAATTGTTCCATGGTCCAAAATGTGGGAGTGATCGTGCACATATGTATAAACCTATCATTTCACCAGAAACTGGCCATTTCCAATAAAACAAGTTTGAAATGCCCTTTATCGTTTTGACATTTGATCCCAATTGATCTCGATCTGGTTCTAAATTTGCCAATGATGTACCAGATAAATGTTTAGCCGCCTCCACTATATCTTTTCCTTCACGAACATCATATCCAATTCGAACATATCTTCTAATTGAATGGGCAATCTAAAGGTAAATATGATTTTAATGTGTAATTTATTACACAGCAATAAGCAATAGAATACTTAATGCAGCATGATGGGAATCAATAGTTGATTTAGCTTCGCCTGGTTCAAGAAACTGCCAATCACGAACTTCAATTTGGTACCATTCATTCCAATGTGCAATTATAGCCATAAGTTCTGATGAATGATAATGTGCTCCATTGTCTGACATTATTCTAATCCATTTTGGTTTATGTTTTATTGTTTCAAAAACAGCTTCAAATGAAGAGGCGGTAAACCAAGCATCTTACTTAGTATCAGTTGACCAGTGATCATAAGCTCTTATCTCTAATTCCTCACAATTTTCTTTTTTTCTAAACATTAAGATCGTATAAAGGGTCCATCCTCTTTTACCAAAAAACTCTGCCTTTGTTTCTCGAGCAAATCTTGGCAAAATTCTAATCTTGTAATAAGCAACAAATAATGCACCATCCTCATCAAGACTTGCCAAAGTAGCTTTAAATTGAGAATTCAAATATATCTTTCGTGTTGAATGGGCCAAATAATACTGTAAGTGTTCTTTAGTTTCTTCTAAAGTAGCTATTTGATCTTCTTTTATATATAGATGCATGAATTCAAAAAATTCAAAAAATTGGTCACATTCTGAGCATCGTGAGTTATGATTTTCAAGACAATTTCCAAAAGCATATGGCAAACAATGAGAAATACAAGAATCATGTTTTGTTGTACCATCAGCATTAACCACTAATTATCTTTCATAACCACGACGCAGATGACGTTTCAAAGCATCAATTTTTTGTAATACACTATTCTAATGATGTGATAAATAGGTAAATTACGATTATTATGTATTTTATTACAATAATATATTTATCAAAGAATATTTTTTTACTTACTAGTTGATCCTTTTGTAAAAATGTATTGCGTGCAATAGCTATTAAGGATTCAAATGGAATATAGCCATAATCATTACAGGTAAGACAAAGTCCACCTATATCATCTCGATATTTAATATTACTGCAGTTTGCTAATCAACCCATAAATGATGTTTTTTTCATTCCATTAGGAAAAGTTTCTTCAAATTTTTTCCACAATTTAATTTTTTGATCACGCATATATAATATTGGTAATACATTTTTATCAACCAGGTAAGAACTTTGTGTAAATATACTTCGATCTTGAAAAAACATTAAAAATTGTTTTTCTTTAACTTCTGACATACGTTTAACAGTTCTTTTTGTTTTTACTAAGGTTGGTACTCCTGGACCATATAGTCTTGCGTGTTTTCGTGCAGAATTGACTATATCATTTCCTACTTGATGAAAATAAAGAATTGAAAATCAATGATGAAGAATTGGGATTGATGACAAAGAAAAATTAGTGATTGGTGATGATGAAGAAATTGGAAATTGGTGACAAAGAAAATTTGGAGATTGGTGACGTGACAAAGAAGAATTGGTGACGAAGAAGAAATTGGAGATTGGTAATGAAGAAGAATTGAAGGTTGGTGACGAAGAAGAAATTGAAGATTTGTGACGAAA